GGTGCTGAAGTGGTGTTTTACTGCCGTCTGAGTCTGTTCTCTCTGTTATTTATGTTTATCCATGGAGACCTTTTCATACAGCTTTTCCCTCAGCTAATGTTACTTGTCTCGCTCACCGTTGTCTGCCTCTCAGGTGAAAGGCTCACTACTGCCCCTAGAGGCCTGTGGCACTTCTGTTTCTTTTTGACATTTTGAGAATTTACTTGTAATTTTTTTTTTGAAGCTACAATTTACCAGTGTTCCCTAAACGCCTCGCCAGCGTTGGTTAGCTTCTAGTCTCCACTCAGTTACTGCAACAGTTCAGACAGATGTGAGACTAAAAACAAGCTTGAAAAGAATAAAATAAGACTTTCTAATGCCAAATTCACCCGAAACAAAAGAATTTTGTCTACCTGGTTGGGCCACTCAGAGACACAGACAGACAAAGACCTGCTAAATGTCAGGAGCACCAGTAAATGGCAGTGAAATGCCAAACTCAAGGCTTTCAAATGGAAGCCCTCCAAACAATGAGTGGCGTCAGTGTTTTTATACAGTCTGGTTCTGAAAGACTGAAGATTTACATGTAACAACCAACATGTGTGCAAAAAGCACAAGGCTGTAGCAAAACGCCTACACTCCCATCATTCACAGTCTGAGGGCAAACTCCAACTGCAGGCAAAGGAGGAAAAACGACGACGGTAATATGTAACATAGCACTCGAGACGGAGCCGATGAGTGGAAAACACACCTCTCTTCTCTGCTCATGGCAACAATTAAACACACAAAAATGCACAGCAGCAGCAGCAGCAGCAGAGTCGCTCATTGATCAGATTGAGAGAACTCTGGGTTTTTTTGTTACTAGGAGCCAAAAAGCAATGTTGGCCCATTCAGCTAAAATACCTCCCACTCCTTCCACCCACATCATCTGGGTTTATTCTGTCTGGAACCAAAGCTATCTGTAAACAAAATCAGTGTGGCAGTCGAGCAGAGGATCAGTTCGTGGCGACCGGGGAAGGACGAAGGCGGCAGGAGGACGTATCCGAAGGAAGCTCTGCCTCCTTGAGGGAAGGAAAACTGGGATGACGGCAGAAATGCAGTTCTGGACCTATGGGCTGTGTCTATGTCTGCATCATGGCTCCACATGTACACAAATCTCCTCCATAAATGTCAACCAAATCAAAATATGTCACCTCTCACTAACTGCTTTAGTTCTAAGCTGAACAGTAGAGCATTACATCTGATGAACAATAAAAAAACAAGTCATAGAAAAGAAATGCAACACAACACAAGACAAAACACAAGTCAAATCAAACCAACCCCACGAAAAGAACAAAAAAAAAAAAATGAGAACACAACAACAGAACCAGCTCTATGCTATGTCTATGTCTGCATCATGGTTCCACATGAAAAATAACTGCTTGAGGAATTAACAAAATCTCATCCCTAATTGTCAAATGAATCATAATATATACTCTCTCAATAGCTGCTTTATTTCTAAGTTGAACAGTAGAGCATCAAGTCTTATGAACAAAAAAAAATAAAATACTCTAATAGCAACTCAATGCAACAAAAGTGAACACACCTGTGATTTCTTATCAGCCCAACATGGTTAAAAAATGAGCTGTGAACATCAGAACCTTCTCAGTTTTGGAGCTATGAATTGTGTCTATGTCTGCATCATGGCTCCACATGGAAAATAGTTGCAAGAGAAATGCAGAGACGTCACAAAGATGGAAATAAATGCAGGAAGATCAGAAGATTTTCCAAACTAAAGCTGACTTTTAATCAAAAATGTCAATCAATCAATCAATCGTCATGCCATTCAGCGTATGCGATCATTTCTCTCCACCTAATCCCATCTTTTGCTTTCTGAATTGTGGCTGTTGCCCATTTCATGTGTAGCCATGATCAAAAATATATAAAACATAAATATACAAAGACATTTCTTTGTCTTTTCTAGTTTTGACACGAGATGTTTGTTTGTAAATCAGCTTTAACTCTCAGTTATCAGCCTCCTTCATTTATTAGATTCAAGACTTCTTTGTTTGTCAATTCTTTGTTCACCTGCATACAGATATTGATCCCCACAGCCGGCATCAGTGTCACAGAGAGGAGCAGGTTTAAAAAGTTTTTAAAAAAATGAAAAGTAATAGAAGAGAAAACAAATAACTAGTAATCTGTGTCAGCGCTGGAAAAAACAGGTTGGTCAACCCCTAATCAAAATAGAGGATTCTTTCATTCTATTAGCTAAGCAATAATCGACTAATCATTTCAGTTGTACACACAGTCTAAGGGCAGCTGTGGCTCAGGTGGTAGAGCGGGTTGTCCACTAGTCACAAGGCTGATGGTTCGATCCCCTCCACAGTCAAAGTGTCCTTGGTCAAGACACTGAAACCCAAAAAGGTTGCTCCCAATGGCGGGCAGCACCTTGCATGGCAGCTCTGTTGCCATTGGTCTGTGAATGTGAAATATATGTCGCTTTGGATAAAAGCTAAATGAAATTGTAATCATAAGTCACACTGGCCAGTTCACACATATCAAACCACTCCATAAAGGGAACTTCACCTTCTATTGAGCTAAAGACAACTAAAAACAGGGTTTCGTGCTTTGTTTTAGTTGATACTCTGATGGATGCTATAGAGACGGATGTTGTGATCCCACAGTGTCTCACAGATGAATAATTACTTCACTTTAAATGCTCCAACCGAGCGCTGATGGAAGCGGCTGCGACAGCTCGTGCATGCATGTATGCAGCGCATTGGTACCGATGACTGTCCGACGCTTGGTGCCGTGAGCTTTCCAGAAACATCTCCTCCAAACCTGGGAATTCCTGTGATGTAACGTTTTACTCAGCAGCAGAGTGACTTCCGCTGTGATGAGCATCACTGTACGAGTGTGCCAAGTTCACGGGTTTTCTGTTATTTTGGGGGGGAAAAGAGTGACAGCGGCAAACAGAAACAAACCCGACGAACAGGAGGTCGGTGCCAAAAAGGGTCATTTTCAAAAAGTGAAAGAGCTGCAGGCAGAAAGAGATTGAGAGTAAGTAGGAGGGGGGGAACAGGGAGAGAGAGGAGCTCACTTTCCATCAGCACAGCTGTGATCAATATCGGTGTCTGACAGGGCAGCGCTCCAGCCTTTACCGTAAATCACTTCCTATTATGATGGAGCCTCTAAATCACACACAAACACACAATAACCGACCTGCTGCAGACATACAACCACATGCACACACAGGTACACATACCTTCATTCACAGCACACACCGGCAGCAGATATTTATGTGCATTCTCAGAAACAGGCGATAAACGGGCCGCCGGCGAGCAGGAAAATGTGACGTACGTCCAGCAGCACAATGAGCAGCTTCAATTAAAACACTGCAGTCAGCCCTGGTTTAACATGCAGCGTGTGCTTAGGGAGTTACATCAAAAGAATATGATGTGAATTTCTACTCAAAAGTGTTATTCAGTGCCTGAGAGAATGAGTCCTGCTGAAGTCATTTCATGATCATCGCAAATTACGGCATTAATAAGCAAGAAGAGAAATCCAGCTTCCAGCACAAGACACTAACCTACAGACACAGTGAGACACATACAGGCAGTAGACAACGGAAGTGAGAACGCTCTCAGTAACTGTATTGTGTTAAAGCTTAACAGCAGAGGATTTCACTGCAAGGATCATCAAAAACAAGTATAGACTGTATTGAAAATTCAGGCCCCAGAGTAGAAAATGCAACAAAAGTGAATCCAGCTGTCACTACTGGAACTAAACTGAGTCAATCTGCAATTTCCAATTTGCCAAACTGCATAAACGTGGTTCTAAAATGAGCTGTGAACAGCAGAGATTTCTCCGTTTTGGACCTATGGACTGTGTCTATCTGCATGTCTACATCATGGCTCCACGTGAGAAAGACTCGCCAGAGAAAATGAATCAGAAAGTCTGACTGGGAGATTTTACAAAGATGACAAAGGATCCAGGAAGATCAACTAGTAATCAGTGAACCAGCAGTAATCAGGAGGTCTAGAAGGAGCCATAGTAGCACCGATCAGGGCTGCAGTGGTCGTCCTCCTAAAATGACTCCACAGACAGTCAACTACTTTCACAATCAAGCTGCGAAAAACAGACAAAGGCAGCTGCTTCAGACTTGGTACAGGAGTTATCAATGGAGACCAGAGTTAGTGTGAAGCTCAGACAGTGTGAAGGACGCTTCAGAACATCAACCTCTATGGACGGTATCCAGTAAAAACATCCTTACTTGCACAAAACAGCATGATGAAACAAAATAACCTGAAAACCAGCCAGATGAATGATGGAGAACATTCTTTGGTCAGATGAAGATAAATGTGTTGGGCTCAGATGGAGTCCAGATGTTTGGTGTGAACCTGACCAGGACCACCACAGTGGATGCATCTTCCTGACAGTGAAGCACGGGGGTGGCAGTATCATGATATGGGGCTTAAAGGTGTTGATGACATTTATAGATGAATGTCTGAGGATAAACCAGAATACTGGCTGATAAGATGACTCCCAGTCTGCAGAAGCTGGAAGAAGAGGAATGTTCCAGCAGGAGAACCATCCAGAGAACAAAATCACACAAGAGTTTCTACAGAAGAACAAAGAGAAAACTACGACCTGGACAAGTATTTGGTCTGACTTGAATCCAATAAAACACCTTTGGGACATCTGAAGGAGAAAGGTGGAGGAACACAACCCCTCCATGCTGAGGAGGGTTGAATCTGTTCTCCAAAATAAAAGTGGACTTATGAAGTATTGGAAAAAACAAAAGATTCAAACATCAGTGATGAAAGATGTCCTGACTTTGGTTGCATTGACTTCCTTCTGTGAGGCCTGTATTTTTAATATAGTTCATCTGAAATGTTATTTTATTCACATTTCATCAGTGAAAATACCTTCTGTTCAACTTAGAAGTAACGAGACACAATTTTTAACCGTTTCACATCTTCATGATATTGCAAAGCCGCGTAAACATTTCTGCTGACACACATTAAACATGTAATACTCACTGGTTCAGCTCCACGTCCAAAATGAATTTTCTACCAAAAGCATCAACTTGAAAGCTCACTTGGGCCACGTGGTTGACCTAAAAAAAAAAAAAAGCAGAGAGGAGAAGTTATTTATCATTACTAAGGCAGCCATTAACATATTCATGGTTCAATTCATTATCATACGCATAAATCAATCCTCATATACACTGACGGACCACCGCATCAATCAGCTGACAGAATTAGACTGTTTTCATTAAGACATCAAGGTCTTTGTCTGAATTTGAATTTCTGCAAAGGATCTGGCAGCAACGCTTGAGCCATGAATCAGATATTCCGTTTGACACAAATACTTAAGTGAACATAGATGCGGACTTCATATTTTACAGAAACTGTCAAGTAAAAAAAATTGACAAAAAACATAAATTTAAGTTTACAATGCTAAAGAAATCGTGAACGTCTGTCAGCAAGGTTTCCAGAAAACAAATGACAACAAATATCTGTAACATAATGATTTTTTAGGTAACTTTAATATAGAAAGAAACATTATTATGGACATTATTTAAAGTTTTAGCCAGTTTTCTAATGGCTAACATGTAAATTAATACTTGTTTTTCTGCAATTTTACTAAATATTATCTGTAATTTAACACAACAGGGAGTATCTGTAATAATAACAATAAGAAGAAAAATAAAAAACAAACAGACAAACAAAAAAACCTGTCAGTCTGGCAGCATTAGTGCCAAACAAAAAAAAAAATCAAAATTTAAAAAATTAAAATAAAAGTTTAAAAAACAATGGAATATTGTTTTAATCAAAGACGATATAATAAAAAACAAATATCAATGAAATTCTATTGTTTATATATTAAATATATATTTTTAGCCGTTTTAGATATATTTTTTTACAATCTGTAAACTCATACTTTTTTCAGTAATTTTACTGGATATTATCTGTAATTTACCAACGCAGGGAAAATCTGCAAAATAACAGTTAAAACTTGATTTATCATTTTTCAGACCTTAACGTGAATGTTTTCACTTTTAAATAACGGTAAATAAAAGCACAAATAGTGTAATTAGAGGAAAGAATGAATAACCATTTGCTGAAATACAGTTTTTTTACAATGTTGGACTCTTTTTTTTGTTTGTTTTGTTTTTGTGAATTACAGTTAAAAAAAAATGTTCCTTTTAACTGTATGTTTACCAGGTTCACTGCCAGTGAGTCTCAGATGTTCCTGAACCTGCACTGAATCCCTTCATCTTCCGGGTTGCCATGTTTTTTTGTCTTGGAGACAGGACACGTGTGCACGCAAAGACAGAAATAAAAACAGGTTCTGTGTGCCATTGATTAGGATGGAGGAGGGTCTGATTCAATCCAAGCGCTGGCCACATATGGTGCAGGCTTCATTACACCCTTTGGCTCAATGAGAACTCCGATAATAATTCCTGGACGTCCAGGAGAGTCTCAAACATGACTCACCCTCCCCCTTCATTACGGGCCGGACACTGCTTGACAACCAGGGGAGGAGGAGGAGGGGAGTTTTTGTGTTTCCGATTCAGGACGTTGCCCTCCGTCACCCGAGGACGACCTCGGCCCCCCACGTCCCCAAAGACCACAGACTCTATTGTTTGTAGGAGCGTGTCTGTGCGTGGTCAATGCATACATGAGCAGCTAAGAGGGTGTGTGTGTGTGTGTGTGTCTGTGTGTGTGTGTGATGAAATCCAAGCCGGCAGATTGGATCCACGGTGGGAGGAGGTACCAGTAATTGTGCTTAATGAAAGCACATCCCAGCTTGACGGAGGTGGACCAACATTAGAGCAGCACCACTGACTCTTCTAACATTGATTTCTGACTTATAGCTTTCCACTCACGACTGTCGAAGTATGACTGTAAGTGCTGTCGATGCGCTGCACGAGGGTCAAACAGTACTCACACTGCATCCAGGGCGATGGGAATAAAGGCAAATTAACTGAAACACTTCAGGCTCCAACGTTTTGGTTTTTTTTTTTGCTGCGTAATACAACAAGAAAAGTCCCATGGTTCTCATTTCCCATGAATCCTCTACAAGAAAAGTCTGCCGAATAAAACACAAGTTAAGGCTTCTTGGATAATTTTTTTAAAACTTTATTTAAAAGACAGACCTGCAGGTTCCATGTGTGCAAAACAACATGAGCAAGAAACACTAAAAAAGGAAGATTTGCTCACGAGAAAGAAACGTTTGTTGTTTGTAAGGCTGCATGACATTGGAAATAAACGATTACTTTTATCTGTAATTTAACTTTAACTGTAAAATAACTGTTAAACACTTGATTTACCATTTTCAATCCTTAATATATATATTATCTCCTTTCAAGTAACGGTAAATATTTGTAAAATAATGACATTTTTTGTTGATTTAATTACAGTAAAAATAGTTTAACTTTATGGTTAAACCAAGCCAATGAACAAATTCTAGTTGTGGCCTGTTTTATCACAGTTAGCAGATAAATTAATACTTTTCTATAGACATTTGACAGAATACAGGATTTTTTTTTTTACCAAATAATAAATGAGAAAAGTTGAAGAATGACTTTTTACTTGGAGTATGCAGCCCTTCTCATGTGATGCAACACTGGTAAAGGAATCCAAGAACTTCCTTCGGGATTATTAAAGTTTTATCTTATTTTAACTTACCTTAAAATAGCATTTTTGCTTTAGATAGTATTATTTGATAGACTACGTGCTGATTAACACGGACAAAAAATAAACAGTTGCCTCGTGTGGTGGCAACATCCTCTTTTCTATTTTCCTATAACTGACTAGGGGCTGTACAATTATGGCCAAAATGACAATTACAATCATTTTGATCGATACTGAGATCACATTAGCCGATTTACTACAATTGCATTTAAACAAAGAGAGCGCTGCTTCACTTCCATGTTGTGCAACATTCCTGCTAATGTAAAAATCTGCATCAAGATTAAACTTAAACTAATATTCACCTGAAGTCAGAGCATCCCAAAACACCTCACTTGCTAAACATCTGCTTATTGACAGACAATACGATTTACCGATGTTCCCTAAACGCCTCACATGCAGCCTTCAGTAGATAGTCAGCTGTGCTCAGAGCAGCCTCTAGTCTCCACTCGGTTACTGCAGCACAGCAGCCATGAGACCAAATACAACTTTGAAAAGGTGTTTTAATGTCAGTGCAAAGTCTAAAGGTAAGCTATCTTTGATGTCTTCACTGGTGTTACACCAAATGAAAAAGGCTCCAAACTGCATTTTTTCAACTTTATTTTTTCAAATAATAGCATCACTGCAGATGCACCAACCTACAAAATCACCCAAATCGTACCACAGTGATTCATTCTTCTCATCTGATGAGACCTCCTGTATTTTTTCCACATATATATATTTCAGAAAAACACACCATCATCTGTTTTTCCCTCTATCATGCAGCTCTGCTCTGCACAGACGCAGGAAAACATCCGAACCAACGCGGCACACGGTCTGCTTCCACTCGCAGCGTTTGTTTTTCCACCAAAACAACACGAGCACTTTGCTGAACTCCCCACTGCTCATTCAGCGCTGTTTGTGTCTGAGACTGAAAATAGGCGATGCAACAGAAGCCTATAAATAACCTCCCGCGTGTCACACATTCTCAGAACTGTTTGACAGATTTGTTTTTAGGGCTGTTGATCTAAAAACAGCCAATAACTGATCAAACTTCAGCGCCGGTGACATCACAACGCTC